CTAAACCTTTCATGCCGTGGATGGTGGAAAGGATAATGCTTTGATGACTTTTTATTTCTTCTAATTGAGTAATAAAAGTATTAATTTTATCTGGCAACGAAAGAGTTTGATTTTCATCTAATTGATTGATTATTTCGGCTAGTTGAAAGATACTGTTTTCAGAGACATTTAAACTAGTTAAAAAACTGTGCAAAGAGGAAAAAAGGGGGTTATAATGATCGGCTTTTATTGTGTTTTCTTTATTTTTTTTAGTAGATTTTTCTTTTAGTTTGCTAATCGAACCTTTAAATTGCCGTTGAACCTGACGAATAATATCCTCAATTATTTTTTCACTTATGCTGGTCATAATACATTTTTCCGTTAGTCATTTTTGGAGTAAATTTCCAATTCAATTTTGCCGGTAAAGAATAGCTTTAGAACTAAATTTATCGAGTTGGTTGATAAGTTGTAGAACAACCTCTAAATGTTGGTGAAGTTTTTTTTGGCGGATTTTGTTTTGCACTAAATCATTTCTTTTGATGGTGGTATTCATTGCTACTTCTTGCTCAATTTCAATTACTTCGTGGGGACTTAATTGATAATCAGGATCTTGACCAACGATAAATATTTGGGGTTGTTGGCCAGTTCTCGGTTTAGTAGTTTGAATCGAGGCTCGATAAGTCATAAACTTTTTGATAAAATCATTAGAATATTCGGCTATTTCGGGTGATAAACGAAAACTAGTAGCAATAATGCTTTGGGTTTGCTGAGGAAATTGTTGTTCTAACAAGGTAAAAATATCCTCGGTGGCTCCGGCAAAACCATAAATATTCTGTTTAGGGTCGCCCACAAAAGTGAAACTAGTGTCTTCACTTCCAAATATTTTAGTAATTAAACGGAGGGTTTCCGCTTTTAAATCTTGGCATTCATCCACTAAAATGTAATCAAATTCCGGCCAGATTTTTTGCTCTGGTTGGCTGATAAGTTTATTAGCGTTAGTAATTAAGTCCTCAAAATCTAATCAGATGTTTTTGGCTTGATCCTGATGGCAAACCTCTTCTAATTTAACTAATAATTGAGAGTTTGCCGGTAACAAAGAGGAAACTTGACTTAAAAAACGAACATAGTTAATTTCATAATGATAATAAGGAGTGATATTTTTTGTCAAAATAACATTTTCTGGTTCAGATTGAGCAAAGAATTTTCATAACTCTGTTTGACTGATTTCTTCTCAGTAATTATCTGCTATTCTTTTGAAAAGATAATTAAAAAGTCTCTTTTTGCGTGATTTGATTGCTCCCAAAGATTTTCAAGCAAATTTTTGGTTTTGCTCCTCATGGGAGATTAGACCCTGTTTTTGCTCAACGCGTTGGGTAGCAACTAGGATTTGAATTTTTCTTTCTTCCTGAAATTGCTTTTTAATCACTAAGTCATTAATGCCGTTAGCTAAGGAGTGAATGGTGCAAACCAATACTAAGGGTCGCCGGTTTTCTCAATAGGTGGGGCATTTATCTAAACTACACGTATGATGATGAGCCAATTCTGGTAAAATTTTCTTTAAACGACTGTAAACTTTTAATTTATGGGCTTTTAATTTGGTTCTTATTTCAGCGGCAATATTTCGTCCGTAAGCCAAGACTAGAATCAATTTCTTCTGCTGCGGATTTTGTTGATGGATAAAAAGAACTCGTTGTTTCAACACTTCGGTTTTCCCAGTGCCGGGGTCAGCATTAATAACTAAAATTTTTTGGTCAAGCGGATATTCAGCACAATTTTTCTGCTCCTCAGTTAACTTGATTTCAACCATAATAATAATTTTTTACAAAAAAAGTAGTGTTTTTTTTAAAAGTAGAAATAGAGTAAGAAAATATTTACTTGCAAATGTAGTAAAATTTTTAGGTGATAAATGTGGTATCATGAGTACCAGAAGATGTATTTAATTCTTATACTCCAAATAAACCCCTAAGAAATGAATGAAAAAACTGTTATGCAAAGAAGAACTTATTTACTATTAAGTTGGTTAGAAAGTCATAAAAATAAATTAAAAAGCGAAAAATGATTATTATGATAAATATTCAACAATTATTTGATAAAAGGTATTCTGAGACTGAAAAAAAAGCAGAGGAGATACAATTTTCAGACTTAAGTGAAAGGATAATTTCTGCTAGCGAATTAACTATTAAAAATTTTCCTAAACTAAAAAAAGTGAATATCAGTAATGTTAAATCTCTAACTAAATTAAAAATTATCAATTGTCCCCAATTAGTTGGAATTAATTGTCAAAATAACGTTTTGCTTACTAATTTAGACTTAAGTGAATGTAATGAACTTATGAAAATTCAAGTTTCCAGTAATAGCCTAGAACTAATAAAATTACCCACTAATTCTGAAACACTGCTTTACCTAGAAATAAATGATAATAATTTTCCTTCACAAGATTTATCTTTTTTAACACCTTATAAGAATTTAGAAATACTCGATTTAGGAAACAACTCCAATGAGGAAAGAGTAAAAAAGGGGATTTATAATCGTTTCTGTGGCGGTTTAGAACCTTTAAAAGAAATAAATAATTTATGAAACTTAGGAATCAAAGGAACCGATATTGATAGCGGTTTAGAATATTTGCCAGAGAATTTGCAAAGACTTAATTGTTTGACCGGAATAAGAGTTGAAGCAAAAGTGAAGCAAATTCATGCTATTTGTGGAACAAGCAGTGCAAATAATTCCTCTTTTAACTTTGATCGAGAAAAATACAAAAAATTTCGACAGGAACAAAAAATAAAAACTGAGCAGGTTAGTTCTAATTCTAAAAGCAAAAAAAGTAAAAGTGCTAAGCGAAAAGAAAAGTTAGAAAGCGTTCAAGAGGAAAATGAAAGGTTGAAAACCGAATTACAAATAGAAAAAGATAGGAAGGGGGCTGAATGAAAACGTGATATACTTAATCAAGCCTTAATTGAGAAACAGGAAGAGATTGAAAAATTGTGGGCAAAGATTCAAGAACTTAATGAACAATTGACAAATAGTAATAGTATAATTGAGGAAAAAGATAAGAAAATCTCAAAATTAATTAGCGAAAATGAAAAAGTCAAAGAAGAAACAAAAGACTTATTAAGCAAAAAGGAAGAAGTAGAAAAAGAACTAAAGGAAAAAATTAAAAGTGCGGAAGGGAAAATAAACCAACTAACTAAGGAAAATTTTGCATTATTTCGGCAAGATGAAGAATGAGAGTGGCGTTGCAGAGAATTAGAAGAGTTGAATAATAAGCAATCAAAAGACTACATTAAAGAAAGAATTGATTGGAAAAGAAGCCGAGAAGAACTCGAACAAGTTATTAAGGGAGGAGGAAATAAAAACCAAGTTCTTCAACAACAGGTTGCTTCTTATCAAGATAAATTAAAAACTTTGCAAGGAGATTTACAAAATAATCGTTCAAATTACGCCAATTTTATAAACAAAAATTTACAAATTAAGGAGAAAGAAGTTGAAGAATTGAAGAAGTTATCAAAAAATTTGCAAAATCAAGTGCAAATTTCTCCCAAATAAAAATTTTCATAATTGAACCTTTAAAATAATTCTTTGTTAAAATTTTTGTCAAACTCAATCTCTTTCGCTTTGTTATAAAAGGACAGGCCCCAAACTCTATACTTTTTGTCCTCCCATAATTGTTCCACTTGACATTCTTTTTTCAGGGATAGGAGCAAATTTTCTTTCCAAGCATCTTTTTCATGTAGATAACTGCCCTTAGGTTCAATAAATACTTGATAATACAGTTGTTTTTCTTTTTGGTATAAAATTAGCAAATAATCCGGTTCAAAAGGTTTACCATCGTCAAAATTATAAAGTTTAAAAAATCTTTCATTGCGGATTAAATAAAACCAGTCGTATTTTTTTTGAAGTTTTTCATACATCCGGTTAATATATTTCACCAAATATTTTTCTTCCGAAGTTCCAAAACAATCATTAAAAACATGTCAATTTTTTTGGTTGAGGTCAAGGTAAAATTTATCTTCTAAACGACAACTCATTGATTTGCCGAATTCTTTGTCTCCGCTTTCATTAAGGGTAAAAGAAAGTATTTTGCTACCGATTTTCTCTTTAACCAGGTGAGATTTAAATTTTTTACTCCCTTTTCATTCTGAATTTTGGGAGGATAGACTGGAAGCGATTTGTTCGAGGATTTTGGTAACTGCCTCTAATTCATGTTCCGGAGAAAGAGAATTTTCGAGTTGCGGAGCCAATCCAGAAACATTTATTTTAATTTCTCCCAAATATTCATTTTTCAAAATAAATTCATCTAGTTTTTCCAAGTTAGGAAAATATTTTTGGAGATTAGAAAAAAAGTAAAAATCGAGTTTATAAAGAGCTTTTTTAATGACGGTTTGGCTAAAGTCTCGGAGACAAAAGTCTTTTTCCTTTCGTTCAATTCCCTTTTTAGTTTGTTCGGCAAAAAGGTCATCAGAGAGACTAAATCCAGTGCGGAGCGAAGTTGAGTATAAAGTGCTCCGGAGTGAAGAGGGTAGGCTAAATACATCCTTTCGCAAATTTTTTTCCGGATAATTGAGAAATAATAAACCAGTTTTATAAAAAGAAGTGCTTTTAAAATCGTCTTTAATAAGGAGATTTCGCTTAATTGTATGGTCGGGAATAATGCCCGATTTTATGAGAGCTGAATTTAACTCTTGAATATAGCGAGGATTATAGGTGCTATGATAATAAAGTTCTTCACCGATTCGCATTTCATTTTCTAGGTCATTATCAAGTTTTCGTTTGAAAGGGTCATCTGAATTGTCTAGTTTAAAGGGGCAGTACCTCGCTCCCCGGCCAATTAACTGGGCTTCTCGAATAGTGGTTGGCCCCGGAATATTATTTTTGGCATCCCGAGTATCATAAAGGCGAACAATATCAAAAAGATTAAGTACATCCCAGCCTTCATTTAGTTTATCAACCGCAAAAATGGCTCGATATTCATTATTAGGGTCTTCCAAGGTATTTACGGCTAATTGCTTTTCTACGCTTTCGTCTTTGCTGTTGACCGAGATAATTTTTTCCGTCGAAAAATCTTCTTGTAATTCGGCTACCAGATTCTCAAAAGAAATTTTATTATCTTCTAAATAATTAAACGCCTTTGCTATGGTTTTATCCTCAGAATTAGCCTTAATTTCACCAATTTTTTCAGGTGTAAGTTCTCTTATTCCTTTAATAAACTCTTCCTCAAAAACCTTGCTCTCGTTGATGGTTTTGGATTTAAAGAGGATAACCGGTTTAATAAGTAGTTTATTTTTCTCAAATACTTTCCGGCGGTATTGGCTCAATAATACGGCTTGTAAAGCCCGGTCAAAGGATTTAGCATCGGTCTGCATAACTTTTACTTCCTTGGAATAGCCATCAATCCGGAATTGTTTCAAGGGGTAATCATAAATAAGCCTTCCGGCATACTTATTTCAAATATTAGGGTTATTAAAGTCGACAGTGGCAGTAAATTCTAGCAGAACATTTTTCGGATTAGCATTAAATATGCGATTAACCGTATTTTCCCAGGAAATAACTTCTTTATCTTCTTCTTTGGAAAGCTGTGAGCGAGATTTGGTTTCCACATTAATATGGTGAGCCTCGTCCGAAATAAGTACAATTTTTTGTTCGGTAAAATCCTCATAAGTTAAACTATTTTCTTGCGGATTGTTTAACCGAGTATGGAGACCTTGGATAGTAGAAAAACAAATGTTAATGCTGTCCGCATTAGTAGTTTGAAAATTTTCGACTTCTTGAAGATTGATTTTTTTATCCTCATAGGAAAGAGATTTATTAAAAAGATACTTGATAGAAACATCATTCAAAAAATTACCCCGAGTTTTATCAATAATAGTAGTACTATTAACAAAAAAAAGAAAATTACAATAACCCTGTTGGTAGAGATACAAAATTAACCCCGCCATCATCAAAGTTTTGCCGCTGCCGGTCGCCATATGAAAGAGGATTTGATGTTTGGTTGGTTTACCCTCAAAATTTTCTTGCCAATAATTAATAAATCATTGAAAGGCTTCTTTTTGATATTCGCGAAGGGAAAATTTAGGATTGAGGTTTTTAGTTATTATCGGCGGAAGCGAGGTAGTTTTAATATTTTTCTTTCCTAACTCGCTTTCTAACTGTTGATATAAAGTTTGTTCTTGCATAATTTTTATTATTTCAGCCTTAATTTATGCCTATTTGGATAGTATTTTAGGTAAATGAATACATAAAAAAGCACTAAATAAGCAAAAGTAATCAGATGGCTAATATTTTACATCATTTAGGATGATTTAAGACCATTTTCATAAATCAGCGAGGTTGACCAAAATTTATTTCATGAGAGAAAAGAATGTGTAATATCCAGTGAACTATAAAAATAATAATTCAAAAAATTACATTGAGAACTCCAATCTTTGAGATTTTTTGTCATCTTTCCTCTTCGAATTTTCAATTTAGATAACAATTAATACATTGATTTACTTGTTCAGACGAACTGCTTTTATTAGAAAAAGAAAATAAACGAGAAGTAGAAAAACTTTTGCTTTGCTTTTTGTAAATTTTATAAACTTTTTGATTACGATAAATTTTTCCAAAGCACGTATAACAGCGATCGATAGGTTATTTTGCACAACTTCTACATAAGAATTGTGAATTTTCGATCCTTATTTCTTCGCCTTTTTTAATTTTTTCATAACATTTGTCGCAAACCATAAGTATTCTCTTTAATATTTTCTATTTTCTTTACTTAAATATTTTTCCAAACTCTCTAATTTGCTTAATTTATAAATAAAAGGAGCCAATTTTTCTCCTCTTTCTTTTTTTAATATTTCTCGGACTACACTATAATCTTTGGGAGTAATAGTAGATTTAATATAAATAAGTTTCATAATATAGTAATTTTAGGAGAGAGGGGTATATATCTATATTTGTTATTAAATTAAAGAAGTTGAGAGAAATCAAGATGAATTTTCCTATTCGAACAAAGAATTTTGTAAGAAGTCAAATCATCTCTTTTGGATTCTTCTCATTTACTAATGGGGAGGTAAATAGTCGTTCCAATAAGGTCAATTAAGTAGTCTTTTTCTTCTCCTCAAAAACTAATAAAAATTCATTGGCTGTCTAAATGATATACTGACATTTCTTTATAGTCATAATCAATTTCTTCAATTAGAGAAAAGCGCTCGTTTTTATTTGGATTTTCATCGAAACTAACTCATTCATCTCCAGGATAATCATATGCATAAATTTTTTTACATTCTTGGCACATTTCTTTTTTTAGTGCTCTGTTTTCATTTTCCTTTTCTCGTAGGTCTTTTTCAAGTCTTTTTATTTTACTATTTTTTTTCTTTTCAGAAACTTCTTTCGCATTTTTCTCTTTATTTGCTTCATTAAATTTATTCCATAATACAATAATAATGACAATTAATAATCCAAAAGTAGTTAAGATGGCTATTACTGCCGACTTTTCATAAATAGAAATTCCGTATGAAATTATTGTTGATATTCCAATAATTATTTTAATAATTCACTTAATATACTTTTTATTCATGCAACAATTAATTTAATTTTTTGATTTTACTGACAAACTATCTTTCCCCATAAAACTGCCGATTTAACTTCTTAGCCTTCTCAGAAAACTTATAACTCTTATCCTCCATATCACAATAAGGAACATACAAGAGGTTTTTATCCAGCAGAGAAATCAAAAATTTTTGTTGGTTGGCAAGCGATAACTCTCCAAAATCAGACTTGGTATTATCAATATTTTTCGGGTCCAACTGATAACTCAAAAAAGCCATTTTTTTCATTTGCTCTCAAATTTTCCAAAGTTCGGCAGTATTTTCAGCCTTTTGAATTTGGTCGATAAATCCTTGATTAAACTTGGCTAATTCACAATAAATAAAAGAGCCTTTATTATCAATTTCACAAACTTTTCTAATTCTTTCTTTGGTTACGGTTTCAATATAATCCATTTGTTCGCAAAGAATAAATTTGCGGTTCCCGTTATCTTGCTTATTCAGTTCTAATACCGCATGAGCCGTGGTGCCAGAACCAGCAAAAAAATCTAAAATAATCGCGTTTTTGTCATTTCCCACTACTGCATAAAGGCAATCGTAGACATTTCAGAGAGATTTGGGGAAACTGAATTCGACGCTAGTTTCATTTGTGTCAAAATTATTACTTTTGACTTTTGAAAAACGAGAATCTTTTTCATCAGCAGCCAATTTTATACCTGGAATTAAATCTTTTAGAAGTTTAGTTCCATAGGAGCTGGCGTCATATTTTTTGCTATCCCAAACAGTTTTGTAAATTTCAAAATCTTTGCTAAACTCAATTTTGTAACCATTCCCAGTTCTTCTCGCCCTCATGAAGTCTTTTATCTCCTCTACACTTTGGCGGGCATAGCCTCATTTTCTTTCGATGTTTTTGTTATCAATCGGTCAAATATACAACTTTCCGTTTTTTTCTACAACAGATTTTTCTGGGTGCTTGTCACTCTCCAAAACTTCTCCAAAGCCGATCACTTTTTCATTTTCAACAAGAATGGGATAAAAGCAATTTTTAGACATTTCTCTAAGTGATATTTTGTCAGTTCTCATGAGATCTTGTCATTTGGTTTCAATTTTTCTTTTATTGATTAATTTAATGTTGGGAACAACAAAAATGGCATACTCGTGAATATACGAAAATCCAGTCGCTTGGGTTCTTCCTTTTGGATTGTGAATAACAGTTATAACGTGGATTTCGTAACCGCGAAAAACTTCCTTTAATAAAACAGTAAGTTCAGCCTGTTCGTCTTTGTCAATCGCGACAATTAGACAACCATCAGCAGTAAGTAATTTTTTAGCTACTTCTAGCCGATTTTTCATAAAAGTTAGTCAAGCGGATTCATTGAAACTATTATTATAACAAAAAGTATTTGCCTTACTACCAGTATTATAAGGAGGGTCAATATAAATTATTTTACCCTGATATCTTTCTTTTAACAAATAAAGAGAAAGGAGATTATTGCCTTTGATAATTAGGTTATCATTCAGGGAAATATCGTTCATTTCTACTACTTCTTTTCCCACTTCATATTTTTGAAAATTAGTTAAAACTTTGGGCGTTAGCAAGCGGTCAATTTCGTCTGGAGCCAAAGTTTCATTTCAAAAAACTTCCTTCCTTTTAGCATCCTCTTGGGTTTGCCCTCCTTCTAAAATACAATCTTTATAGGGTCAGGCTAAAACTACTTCTCCACTATTAGCCAGATATTGCCGGTCTGCCGTTAGTCCGATTTTGTTTTTGTATTGGGTAAAACTATTAGGGAGGAATTGTTTATTAGAGATAAAGTTTTGAAATTTTATTTTGTCAAAAACTAGGATATCCTCTACTTCCACAAAAAATATTTTCCGCAGTTCAGAAGAAGATTTAATCAGTTTTAAAATTCCAGCATCTAATTGGAGAGCCAGTTCAATAATTTTGTTTTTGGCGAGATTGCCATCTACTACTAGTCGTTGGTCGTTTTTGAGGAGTTGAGTTAGGGTTTGGAGAGTTTTCGTTTCCATCTTTTATTAATATAATTTTTTTAAAAAATAACTAAACTAAGTTTGGTTTTGCTAAAAACAAAAATATGGTTAAATATGGGTTTTGTCAAAAATGTCGCCAGCCTAATACTAGTAGAAGTTGATGTCAACCCTGTGCTGAGAAAGAATGACAAGAAGACATAAAAAATTTAACTGGACAAGAAATAGTAAAAAAATTTATTCAACAATTGGGCAAGAATGCATATGGTAATTACAGACTGCATTGAATACCTTATGAATGGTTTGCTAATATTGAATATTTGGCAGAGGGTGGCTTTGGTAAGGTATACAAAGCTAAATGAAAAAAAGTAGAGTTACACTTTCGCTACCATGTATATAATGATATTGTCTTAAAAGTCCTTCATGATTCTCAAAATGTTACTTTGGAATTTCTAACCGAGGTGGCTAATAATGTTTTGGTCAATGATTATAATACTTCTCCATATACCGTTAAATGTTGAGGTATTTCTCAAGATCCAAAAGGTAACTATGTAATGGTGATGGATCATATAAAAGGTGGTAATCTCCGAGAATATTTGCAGCAAAATAGTAAAAAATTAAACTTAGAGATTAAACTTAAAAAATTATACAACATTGCTATGGGATTAAGTTTTGTCCGCCAGCAAAACTTGGTTCATCGAGATTTGCATCCAGGGAATATATTAAATGACAGATATGGGGACGGTGATGGAGATGGTTTTGATAGAAGTTTTATTACTGATGTAGAACCATGCAGACCAACTAATTATCGAGAAAAAGAAGGCGAGATCTTTGGTATTCCTCCTTATGTTGCCCCGGAAGTGATTCTAGGTCAGCCTTATACCCCGGCTAGTGATATTTATTCTTTTGGAATAGTAGCTTATGAACTATTCGCTAATGCTTATCCTCACCTTGATTACGATTTCGGCAACAAAATAATTTGTAAAATTTTTTTTGACCAAGTGGTAAATGAGGAGTTAAGACCTAATATAGATGAAATTCCCCTACCCAAAGAAATAAAAGATTTAATCACAAGGTGTTGGAATGCTGATCCTGCTAAAAGACCAACTGCTCAAGAACTTTATAGGACTTTAGGTGATTGGGAAATTGAAATTTATAAAAAAAAGATACCCTGTTTTACCAACAATACCAGAAAATAGAGAAAGAATATAACCACTTCTCTAAAAACACTTCTTATAGAATTAATCCCACCTCTGTCGTTGCTAGTATACCAATAAACACTAATCAAATCACCGAATCATTAAAAAAAGCCTGTAATTAAGTCCCTAAATAAGGTCAATTTATAACTATGCTGCTAGTTTATTGCGGTGAAGGAAAAAGTTTAAATAAAACAGTGGGCGGAAATGAAAAATTATTTTTTTCTATATTATCAATCTGACCGAGACAAGACCATTTCAATTAAAAATTAAACATATAGTTCATGCCTAAATACAGCCATCTTTCCAAAAAAGAATTATTGAGAAGTAGGAGAAAGAGTCGGATCTCAAAAAATATGGTCTCGTTTGGGGTAGAGAAAAGAACCCGAACAAGTAGTTTTAGACTGCAAAAACAATTTACCAATACTTCAAAAGAATTAGAGAAAAACAAATTAGTATGGCATTTTAAGTTAATTTTATAGTAAAATTATATTAATAAATGACTAAATATTTTCGAAGAAATAAAAATATTAGTGGATCTTTAACGTGCCATGGTTGTAAACAAGAGAAACGAGATACTAAATGGTTCAGTTTAAATAAAGAGGGAGAGAATTATTGTCTAGTTTGTCGTAATAAATGATATCAGCAGAATTATAGACCTAAACTTAAAAATAAAGAAAAAAATGAAATTTTAAAAAAACAACCTATCTCTGTTGAAAGCAGAAATAATTTTAGTGATGATGATTGTGGTGTATATTTCAAAAGTTCGGAAAAAATGATTGAAATAGAAGATAATACTGTCGACTTAATTATAACTTCTCCTCCCTATTTTAACATAAAAGATTATTCTAAAAACGGAACTCAAGATTTAACCCATTCCTCTTTGCAAGAGAAAGATGTAGGAAGTATAAATAATTATTCAGATTATATTTCTTCCTTGTTAAAAATTTGAAAAGAATGTGAGAGAGTTTTGAAGCCAAACGGAAAACTTTGTATTAATGTTCCGCTTCTGCCGATGTTAAAAGAAGAAGTCAACACTCATCATAATCGTACTATTTATGATTTACAGAGTGATATTCAAAACTCTATTTTGAAAGACAAAAATACTTCTCTTTACTTGTATGACCTATATATCTGAAAAAGAACTAATTCTCAAAAGAAACTAATGTTTGGTTCCTATCCTTACCCCCGTAATTTTTATAATAATAATATTATTGAATTTATTACTGTTTATGTAAAAGGAGGAAAGCCGGATAATGGGGTTGATAAGGAAATAAAAAAAAAAAGCAAGTTAACCGAAAAAGAATGGTTAGAATATACAAAGCAAATCTGAGAAATTCCTATGCCGAATAAAAGTGATAGTGCTTATGGCAAACATCCTTCGATTATGCCCGAGGAAATAGTAAAGAGATTGGTAAGGTTGTTTGCTTTTGAGAAGGATTTGGTTCTTGACCCTTTTGCTGGTAGCGGAACAACTTTGAAAGTAGCAAAAGAATTAAATAGAAAATGGGTAGGTTATGAAATATATGAGAATTATGAAGAAGTGATTAAAAAAAAACTTGGCATGAATAATGTAAGACCACCACTAAAAATTAATAGAATTTATAACCTTGATGTTTTTGCCTTTTTTGATAGTTTGCCAGATAATAGCGTTGATTTGGCTATTATTGACCCACCTTATAATCGTCTTGATGCCGAATGAGACAAATTTAAAGATGAAATAGAATTTTTTAATTTTACCTATAGGTGAATAGATAAATTAATTCCTAAATTAAAGAGAACAGCTTCCATTTACATATTCAATACTCCTTTCAATTGTGCTTATATCGCATCCCATTTACGAAAGAAAAATCTGATTCACCGAAGTTGAATAACTTGATATAAAAAAGATGGCTTCAATGGGAACAAAAGAAAATATGTGAATAATCAAGAAACCATTTTATTTTTTACAGTTAGCGAAGATTATACCTTCAATCATGAGGAAATTCGCATTCCTTACGCTGCTCCCGAAAGAGTTAATTCGCCCAAAGGAATATTAAAAAATGGCCAGCGATGGTTCCCTAATCCTAATGGTAAACTCTGTTCTGATGTGTGGGAAATTAGTAGTGATCGTCATCAAACAAAAATAGAAGGAAAAATACAAAAAAATATTCATCCTTCTCCTAAACCTGAAAATATGATCGAAAGAATAATTAAGGCTTCTAGTAATGAAGGGGATCTAGTTTTAGATCTTTTTTCCGGAACGGGAACAACTAGTGTGGTAGCAAAAAGGTTAAAAAGAAATTTTATTGGTTGTGAAGTAAATGAGTCATATTACGAACATGCCGTTGCTAGAATATTTAAAGAGTAATTATGGAAAAAAACATAGAAAACAAAAAAATAATTTTAAATATTGATGACATAGGTTTAAGCAGAGAATGTGTAGATTTTCTTCGCAAAAGATTAGGACCAGAATCTCCTAACTATCGAGGCTGACATTATTCTCAGCACAACCGCTACAATTTTGATGAAGTGTTAGAAATTTTTAACGTACTTGACGGTTTCATCAAGGAAACAAATTCGGAATTTTTAGCGATAAGAACAACTGACATTTCTAAGAGACCAAAAAGTCATCCTCATGAGAGAATTTATTCAAATTTTTGCCGCGAAATTAAGAAAAAAATGGGAAAAGGAAAAGAGGATGCAACGAGAAAGAATTTTTTTGTAGATTTTCACCGAATGAACTTGCTAGAAAGGTATGATGAACAAGGAGAAATAATAGGAATTGGAACTAGACCCAGAAAGGTAAGTAAAGTAAGAATTTCAGAGTGAGGAAAAGAATTAATCAATACTCCTGGCAAATTTGAAAAATATTTAGTTTACAGTAAAGCGGTTGATTTCCTTTTACAAGGGATTATGGAACCACTTATCAGCATAATGAGAGAGAATGGGAACAAGATGGAATTAGAAGAATTTCAATTTTTTGTTTCTTTTCTTAACAAGGAACTCGATGGCCAGGTTTTCAGTGGTCAAGAAATCAGAACTTTTTTAAAAGAGTATCGCGATTTAGCAGATTCTCAAAAAAATCATCTAATTACAGAGTTAAAGAACTACTGTAATCCGCAAAATTTTGCCGGTAACAAAAAAGATAAAAGAGACTTTCATAATTGAAGGAATGGAGTTCAACAATTTTTCACTTTATTAGATACAACTGCTTATTTTGAATTAGATCATGAAAAGAAAAATTTGTCATTAGGAAAAAGTCAAACTTCTGACAAAAACCTTCAGCAAATGACCAAAATTATTCGGTCAAATGTCCAAAAACACAAATACTTTATCGAACATAAGGTTTCAAAAAAGTTAGATTTTGATTTGCATCATATAAGACCTCTTTTATGGGTTAAAAATCCAGAAGAACTGAAATGAACTGATGATTGAAGAAACATGATTTATATCCGGGTCGATGAACACGCGAAAATTACTCGGTCATGATACAAAGTGAATCGTGTCAAACTGTCCTCAAAAATAGGTAGTGATAGACTATTTTTGTCAGATATAAAAATGAGTGAGGAAAGCATAATTGAATTTAGAAATAAGGAAAATATTCACTATAATCCAAACATAAAAAAATTGCTTTTGAACTATAATGAAGAAATGCTAAGAATATAAAAAAAAGCAGCAATAAATTTGAATAGTGTAATAACTAATGGAATAGTGGTTGAAAAATATCCGAACTGAAAAATAAACAGAAATAAAGTGTATGTTTATGAAAAAGAAAGTAATTGAAAAAATTTAATCTTTATTGATTAATAAGCACGGGATTAAAATTAATTTATATTATTAGTCAAAAAAGAGGAGTGATGAAGGGGCTGCCTTTTAATCAAAATCAAAGGAGAAGCAAAAATTCTTTTGATGAATGCAGATTCAGAAAAAATATAGAGATTAGTTTTTTTTGTTCTTATAACTGACTAATGCTAAATAAACTTACTTTGTGGTAGCAATTTCGTTAGCAAGTAGATCCACTAAAGAAAAAAAACTGGCAGTTAGAGATAAGTGCTTGATAAAGGGAATTGATTTTGATCCATAGAAATACAAAATTAAGCAGATAATTGCTATGACCAGTAATAGATTTTTTTTGTCCCATATTTGTATATTTTTAGTATTAATATTTTTTTTATTCATATATTTATAATTTTAAGATTGTTATAATAAATTCAATTAGCATCCAACAGAAGTCTGAAAAACTAATCTCCCGCCTGTGCTCCTTGAACTTCTACAAATGCTTAATATAATTTTAGCTACTTATCCAGCGCCTCTATATAGGGAAAGTTATAAAGATAACAAGGTGATAGTATATTTATTAATCCCCTTTTCGTATTTATTCCCCACCTTTCAAACGCTAAAAAGGAGAAATAAACTTAACCTAAATCAAAATCACCATTTATTCCCGACCTAATTGTCCATTATGAGAGGAATAAATTAATTATCCCACATAGGGAAAACACATGGCAAATTATAAACAAAAATAACCCATTGAATATAATAAGTTATCAAAATGAAAATATAAGCAGAAATTAAGAGGATTATTCAAGCAAGTTCAAAAATAGACTTTTTTGAGAAAGTTTTTAAAACACATGTAAACACTAGAGAGGAAAAATTACTAGGAAGACCGGGTGCCATCTCTCTCTCTCTCTCTCTCTCTCTCTCTCTCTCTCTGGAAAATAATGAAGTAGCTAGACTGAGAAACGCCCTCCAACCACTTCCTAATTAAATGCAAAAACACATAAGTTCCTCTATTGCTGCTTCAATAAATTCTAGAAAAAAAACTTCCATAAAAGTTTGTAATTCTTTGGTTTCTGTTGTTTGTCTACCGTTTCTTTCAATTATTCGAGTATAGATTCCGCCTCCATCATATATTAATGTTTCATGAACAGCCTCACCAGAAATGTTTCTTCCACTTCCACAAACAAATCTTCTTGCCCTACCCTCTCGCACATTGTCAAGTCCTTGGTAAACTCTATCGCGATTCACAATAGAGGAACGAGGAATAAAAATAGTACGATCAGAAAGAGTTCATTCATCATAACTTCAACAGCGTTCATACCTTCTGTAAGTGCTAGAAGACCTATAACTAGGATGGTCGTCTCAACTCTCCTTTCATGCTTGGCAATTACTATAATATTTTTTCATATTAATTAACTTTTAAATATTAAAAACAAAGAAACCCCTAACCCCCAACCACTTTTGTTTTTAACCTTTCCCAACTTATTTCACTTGCTCCAACCTATAAAAAAGATTTTTTTAATTTCTTATATATGTTTTATTTTAATATACAACTTTTAGGGTTCGAAACCCTTAGTATAACGCTTTTTTTTGGAGCAAATACTTTAGGGATTAAGTTTTGTAGAGCACCCCGTTTTTAGTTTCATTACTTTTAATTTAACAAATAAATAGCAAAATAAGGGTTTCTTTTAGTTTTATATCGTGTTCTAAACCAAGGTAATTACTCACTAAACTATTTAGCCTTCTTTCAACCACCTTTTTTATTATTTTTACCACCTCATCCTTTTTGATATCAGGAACCAGTTTGGTTGGTCACCAATTTTTTATTTTAGTGGTCAATTTTGGAATGTTCAAGGCAGAACTTATCGCAATTGGCTCAATTTTTACTTCCTTTAATTGTAATTTATCCTCTTTTCAATCAGCAGTAAGTAGAATAATTAATAGTCCGTCTTGGCTTAAGTTATTCCTTTGCTTAATCAAGGTTTCATCTAAACTGATTAAAGTTTCTTTTACTTTTAAGGCCAGAAGTTTTTGGTCAGGAAAACTAAAAGCATAACCATCGTCAAGCGTTAAGAATTTACCAGGCAAATGAGTGAAAAAATTCTTATTTTTATAACTATTTTGGAGAGTAATTATTCGAAGTGGCTGTAATAATTGCAATAATAACTTAAGATCATAAAAACTAACTCCTAAACTTAAATATTCCTTTTTGCTTAAATTAATTATCTCTTCACTCTGGGTATAAAGGTAATCAATGATGCGAGCCAACCTCATTTCTCCACCAATTACGGGAGGAATACCTACTATGAATTGAAAAGGAGCCTTTTGTTGAGGAGAAAAATTATTCAAACAATGTTTTATTGCTTGTTCAATTCTTTCTGGATTGTCAACTAACAAGTAAAGATCCTCATTTTCTTTTTTTTTTAGTGAGGAAGTAAAATTTTCACTTAAATCTTTTTCCGTTTCAATTACTGCTCGCAGCGGACTTTTAACTAAGAATTGGCTAATCAATAATTTAAACCTTTGGTTCAAGATCTGAACTTTTTTCCCTCAGCTCTGGGCTAATTCTAATAATTCCAAGATATGCAATCAGTCAAAATCATAGAAAATAAAAAATAGTGGTTTATCTCGATTAGGAAAAGCCTTAGTGGCAAAATAAAGTGAATTTTTATTTTGCCAATGGAGTCCTCAATAACTGGTAATTAAATAAGTATTTTTTCTCTTTTGGGCACAAAATTGTTGAAATTCAGGTCAAAAATTGGCGGGAAACAGCATTCTGTTATTCAATAAACTACTAAAAACAAACCCCTCTAAAAAATAAAAACTGGACTGAGAATGATGCACAGCAAATCCCAAATTACCCAATAAATAACTGTTCAGCGGAATAAAAGATAAAACAAAGTCACCGATTTTTCATTCTCGGTTCTTTTCGGCCACAATTATCTTGTTCCTTAACTGAGGAAAGAGGTAGGGAAGGATTATTTTGCTATAATGGCTAGTATAAATTGGAATATGAGAACCAATTTCTTGGCTGATATCAGCTAATAATCCCACATTTTGCCAATTAGTATTAACTACAATAATAGCTCTAACCTTAGTTTTGTTTTCTTTTAAATAATTGCGACCAACTTGTTGTTCCTGGGAACCAACTAAAGAATAATTTTTGCCGGTCGCTAGGAGGAGAATGTTTTTTTCTGACTCTAAGAGGTAAAAATTACCTTCATTTTCCCAACTGCCGCGAAAAAGTAAAAAACGAATTGTCATAATAGTAATTTCTATATTTTATAATGTTTAATAATAATTTGGATTTGAGTTTCACCTATTTTGTTGGAAAGGAGAAATTGTTGGTTTTCCTTAGCCATAACTTTGTTATTCTTCTTCAATATTGAGAATTTGTACTTGATATTCTCCTTGACTGGTTTTAACTTCGGTTATTTCGCCTACCCTTTTCTCACTAAGTGCCATTCCTACTGGACTATTTCGAGAAATCTTGCCTTGGTCAGGGTCAGTTTCTCCGCTAGTTAATCGGATAGTCCTTTTTTCCCCAGTCGCTAGGAGAAGATAAGTAATAATTTTATCATTTTCTCTACTCATTTCCGCCATTTTATTTTTTAACAAATTAATTTGGGACTGGCAAGTTGTCAGTTTTTCATTCAAGGCAATTCAATCCCCATTCTCCGAACTATCTTTGTAACCACACATTCTTAATTTCTCTTTGGTTGCCGAATAATCGTTCTCCAATTTTTTTAATTTCTCTTGAAGAGCATTATAACCTGCTTGGCTTTCCTGTTGCTTTTTCATAAGAATCTTTTTAGTTGATAAATTAATTAAATTTAGGATGCAGAGTAAATTTTAAGATCAGTAATTTTCCTTTTCTCATCTTTCAATATCCTTTTATTCTTACCGCCACTTTCCAAGAAAGAAACTAAATCCTTTTTATTGTATCAGCAAACATCCGTATCGGCTAAGAGGTATATTTCCAGATTTTTTTCCTTATCGACCAAACAGACTTGATGTAAAGGATTTTCTAACTGGGCTAAATGTTTCTTTTTCTCTTGTTCCCGACATTTAGAGCAGGCTTTCCTTTCGGCTTTTATTTTATTTAAAATTGGACATTTAGTTCGATTACCAAGGGCTTCATAACGAATTTTTTCACCTTGCTTCATTTTCTTAGCCAATTCATTAACCAATTTTTGTATTTCTTTACTTGCTCCAGGTTTCTTTTTCCTTAAATTTTCTAATTTTCCTTTTATTTCTTCTACTTTTTCTTTGGATTGCTGAATTTGTTTATCATACTTGTGACAGTGATTACATGTTTCGTGTTCAGCATTTACTTGTTGAGACTCTTTTTCATGCTTAGCACAATATTTTTGACAATCCTTACATCGTTTACTCTTTTCTTTGAAAATGCCTATTTTATCCTGCTGATTTTTAACTTCGTTCAATAATTTTTGGTAAACCTCGCCTTTTTGTTTTAAGTCCTTGGTCAGGCTTTTAATCGCCTCCTGGCTAATGGTTGCATCAACTGGTGAATTAGCAATCTTCCTGGTCATCTCCTTGGTATTTAATCCAGTAATTATTTTAATATCTTTCAAGACTTTTTCCTTAACTTCGGGTGGTAAAGTAGACTTTAATACCTTTTCTTCCATAGTTTCCTTTTCCTGACGTCATTCTCCTTCTACTTTCTCTTTGGCTTTTTCTAATTTTTCTAAATCGAACCAATGTTTCTTACAGTAAGTCGTCTTTTTTGATTTACCGTCGGAACTAATTCAATTTTTGGTTGTGACTAATGGTCTTTTTTCACAATTATTATCTTTCTTAATTAAAAATAGCAGTAAATTTTCTTTATTTTCTCCCTCCTTGATAATTAGTAAGTCAACCACTTGCTCACATTTTATTTGTTTTCTGATTTGTTTAGTAAATAGGTGAGGTTTTTGACAATTACCACACTCTTTAATTTTTTTTTGTAAATTTCTTATTTCAGTGCAAGTTATTCCACACGGATGGCTTACTTTATGTCCTTTTAATTTAGTTTGATGAGTCGGACAATAAATTGACTTTCCTTCTTCATCCCTTTGGCGCATCTGGCGATAAATCGAGGTTTTTAGGTTTTTTGCTTGACCATCTTTGCCTTTCCTTTTGAAAACCACCTCTATCTCCTCATTACCTTGAAGTAAGGCAGTTTTAGCAATTACATCGCCGCTACCAACTCACTTCTCCCGACAATTACCACATTCTTTAATCTTCTTTTGTAGTTCCCTTCGTGGGGAGCATCCAATTCCACAAACATGGGAAATGGCCTTATGTTCGACTAATTGAGTTTGGTGCAGGGAACATTTTTCAATCGTTTTTTGGTAAAGGTTAATCAATTTCTTTCCTGATTTGCTAATATTTTGCAATTTTTCTTTGGCAATTAGTTTAATTTTTCCTTTTTGAGTAATAATAAGCAAGAATTGGTCGGTAAATTCTTCGGGGACTGGTAAAGCCGCGGTAAAGAATTCAGTGGATCGTAAAGTTGGTTTCAATTCTCCTTTTTGGCTTCTAGTGAAATACTCTTCATTTAAATTAGTAGTTTTATTGAGTGCCGCAAATTGATAAAAGGTAAGATTGTATAATTTACCATAACTAGAAAAACATCATAAATCATCACGGCGGTCAAGTTTAATTAATACCCAATTATCGCCTCGGGTTTTTAATTCTTTACCTTGACTAGGAATATTGGTTGGTTCCAATGCTGAAAGATGATGAACCGTTAAATAGTTATTGACCTTATTTTCCTTTTTATTCTCCGAACGACTTAACAAAATAATCCTTTCTTCATGGGGAATCAATTGTCTTTCCGCAATAGAATGGGATTGAGCGCTAATAATAGTTCTTCGGTGGTCATCAACATAGTCCTTTTTTAATTCAACTAATTCATTAATTAATTGTTGCTTTCTCTGCTCTTGGTCGGTAATTAATAGTCGTTGTTGGGTAAGTTTTTCCCCTAAGTTCTCAATATCACTTTGCAATTTTTTCTTTTGCTCTAAAAAGAAACTGAAAAAGGAAGGGGGCGGATTTCCCAAAATGTTTTCAGCAACTTTTTGTTCCGGATTAAGATAACTTTCTAACAAGTTAGGTGTATCAGAAAATTCTTGGTCACTTTTTCTTTTTTTGATGTCTGGACTATTTATTCTTTCTTTTATTTCATTTATTTCACTCTCTTTATTTTGGTAACCCTTATCTTTTTCATATAAATCAATTTGCTTCATCAAACTAACTAATTCTCGATATTTTTCTCGCTTGGCGGCTTCAGTTCTTCGTCGACTTTGACTTTGAATTTCACCAATGGCCTTTTCCGCCTTGATAATAAGGTCAGCTAAAAATAAATCTACCGTGGTATCTCTTAAATCCTTTATTTCTTCCCGGAAGGCATCCAGCAATTTTTTTTTACTTTCTTCTTTGGAAGAACTATCGTTAACTACTTTAACAACTCCTTTATAATTTTGAATATTAAAGA